CTTTGAAATGGGCGTATGTGGTATACGCTACCTTCGGGGACTCCGGGAAGCAAACACGGCGCCGTTGCCCATGCGAGAGGAAAGTCAGCGGCCCTAAATCAAGCCAGGACGGAAGAGAGCAAACCTACTTCGTGCGTAGTATGACGCTAGGAGCTGCCATCACCGGCCAGTCTCCGCGTGGCTCGTCGTTGACCGTGGAGTGGAGGATCTTCAATGGAGCTTGAGTGGGGACTGATCCGATTCTGTTTCAATGCCCATGGCAGTGTAAAGACGGCATGTATCTGTACATGGCCTTTCCAGGCTGGTTCGCACCATCCATCCCGTTGTGGGCGTGTCCCTGATGCCAACCACACCGTACGAGAGCCGCCCGCGCGTGTGATGAGAGTGATAGAACCTGATGGTTGCTGTGCTGTAACGCGCTTAACAGTCTTTTACCGAGTTCAACAAGCCGTGACCAACACTGAGTAGCACTCGGCTGCGATGGAAATGGCGTGCGTTGGCGCTTGCCGCTGAAGGGCCGTTAGACAAAGAGCAAACTAACTGAAGCTTGTCTGTGAGCCCTGTTTTGGCGCTTCTGCTTCCTGTCAGGGATGAGACGCACTATCTGCATCGCGACCCCCCATCGTGGTGGCGCGAGCCTCGGGGCTCGGGACTTTTTGCTTTGAGCAGGACCGGGATCTTTGGGCAACCAAGTTGACGACAGGCAGTCGAAGGCTCAGCAGAGAGATGTGGAGATTTGACACTGGCAAAAGAGATCCAGGGAAGCGAATCCGGGAAGCCGTGCCGGGAGCCTATGAGTGATACCCGACGTTACCATCGGAAAATCTAATGCCGTGGATATCAGGCATGAAGGAGCGATGGCCTGAAAAGACGATCAGGAAGGGAAGGCGGAAGGTGGGTTCCTCGTAGCCTTGCGGGATCTTGTCAGCTCTGACAGAGATGGTCAGCCACACCCACCCGCCACATCTTGAATAGATGTGGCGCTATCGAAAAGATGACAGCATCGCCATCACTTCACCAGCCTGTGGTTCCTTCTGAGACTCCAGAGACTGACGCCGAGCGCCTGTCGCGCGCGAAAAACGAGGCGATCACTGACGTCCTACATGCCACCCACTCGGCTTCGCTGCTTTACGGCTTCTCTCGATGAGCCTAGCAGCTCTCGAGCGCCATTACCCCCTGGCTAGAATCCCCGAGGCTTTGTCTTCATGATCAAGGAACAGGATGTTGCTTGCCACTGTCCTACTCTTCATATGCGCCGTGCTACCATGGACGGCACAGTCAATGCGGCAAGACCACCTTGCGCGGTTGCGCCGGGAAACAGTGGACATGTTCTACCATGGTTTCAGCAACTACATGGAGCATGGGTTCCCTGAGGACGAGGTATGTCATGCAGCATCAAATGCCAAGTCGATTGCATGTATTGACATTGTCTCGATAGCTTCGCCCTTTGACATGCGCTCCCCTTACTCGAGATCGCGAAAACCCCGCCCACATCGGACTCAACGACGCCCTAGGAAACTACTCCCTCACCCTCATCGACAGCTTATCGACCCTGGCTATCCTTGCCGGAGGACCTGACGATGGGACGTACACAGGATCGCGAGCGTTGGGCGACTTTCAAGATGGAGTGGCAAAGTTTGTGAAATACTATGGCGATGGACGGCCAGGTGCGTCAGGCCAAGGCCTACGGGCGTTTGGGTTTGACCTCGATAGCAAGGTCCAGGTCTTCGAGACGGTCATACGCGGACTCGGCGGTCTTCTCAGTGCGCATCTCTTTGCGATTGGCGAGCTACCTATTACTGGATACGATGTAAAGGCAGCCCACGTGAAGGATGATGATGCCTTGGAACTGGCACCTATATCATGGCCCAATGGATTTGAATACGACGGGCAACTGCTCAGGCTTGCGCTCGACCTCGGTCAGAGACTCCTTCCTGCATTCTTCACCGACACAGGCATTCCATATCCTCGGGTCAACCTTCGACATGGCATTCCCTTCTACACCAACTCGCCTCTTCATCGTGACGGCGACGAAGAAAAGGACCCTTCAGATGGCACACCTGAGGAAATCACCGAGACATGTAGTGCTGGAGCAGGAAGTCTGACTCTCGAGTTCACCGTCCTAAGCCGCCTTTCAGGGGACCCTCGATTTGAGCAAGCTGCAAAGCGAGCCTTCTGGGCGGTTTGGGGCAGGAGGAGTGAGATAGGTCTTATTGGTAATGGTATTGATGCAGAACGAGGTCAATGGATAAGTCCGCATGCTGGAATTGGTGCCGGCATGGACAGCTTCTTCGAGTACGCTCTCAAGAGCCACATCCTACTCGCTGGGCATGATCTACTGAATGCATCAACTTCTCATCGACAGAGCAGCACCGGGTGGCTGGATCCCAATGCTCTTCATCCTCCTCTCCCCACAGAACTTCACTCCTCAGACGCTTTCCTCCAAGCATGGCATGAAGCTCACGCCTCCGTCAAGAGATACCTTTACACCGATAAGAGTCATTATCCGTACTACTCGAACAACCATCGAGCTACTGGCCAACCTTATACCATGTGGATTGATAGCCTGGGGGCATTCTACCCTGGCCTCTTGGCCATGGCTGGCGAGGTTGATGAGGCTATTGAAGCAAATCTCGTCTATACCGCTCTCTGGACACGATACGCAGCGATCCCTGAGCGCTGGTCTGTCCGAGACGGCAACGTTGACCAGGGCCTTGGTTGGTGGCCAGGCCGCCCTGAGTTCATAGAGTCGACATACTACATCTACCGTGCTACAAAAGACCCATGGTACTTGTATGTCGGGGAAATGGTTCTGAAAGACATCGAACGACGATGCTATGCTCCTTGCGGGTGGGCTGGCCTACAAGACGTCCGTACAGGGGAAAAGTCTGATCGAATGGAGAGCTTCTTCCTAGGCGAGACGACAAAGTATATGTACCTGCTCTTCGATCCCGACCATGCGCTCAACAAACTCGATGCTGCATACGTCTTTTCTACCGAAGGCCATCCTCTCATTCTCCCCAAACATCATCGAGCAAAACCAACTGGACGTCGCCCTCTAATAAAACGGGATGTCACTGGATACAGGTATTATGATGAGACCTACACGAATACCTGTCCTGTGCCTCCTGTCCCGGGATTGCTGGCCGAGTCAGCCACAGCAGCCCGACAAGACCTGTTCAGCGTTTCTCGTTTTGTCGACTTGCACAATACGCCAAACATCCACGGACCCCTTGAGACCATCGAGATCACAGACAAAGACAAGAAACGAGTGACCCGATACAGAGCCAAAACCAACTACACACTCTTCCCCTGGACATTACCCCCGACAATGCTTCCCCAAAACGGTACATGCACCGCACCCGTTGAGCGTATCACGACATTGATAGAGTTCCCGGCCGGCGATGCAGCCAGCTCGCTGGTCTCACGTTTCGGAGCGTCTCTTGTATGGTACACCCACAACGGGCCAACAGTTCGCAACCTCGATGGCATGCGACTGCATTTGGAACGCCAGCCGGACGGCGAGCTTCCAGATCGGACTTGGAGGATCACTCACGCGGCAAGCAGGGAGCTCGGTCGCCATGAGAATGTGTTCTTCCACGCAGAGCACGTGCGGCACTACAAGGACGAAGCCTTCACCTGCCTCCGGCGGAAGGACATTATCGAGATCGACCTTCTGCTTGACTTGCCGGATAAGCAGAACGCCAGCGAGCCAGCTCCCGCCAACGGAGCGAATGCATCCAGCGATTCTCTATCCAGCCAGCCGCCCATTGCTTCAGAGTCTCTGTTTAAATCACTGCTCCGTGCCGTGAGCTCCGTCTTTGAACCCACATATACCGACATCCCGGAGTCGGAGCCGGAGCCCGGCCCCACCATCCTCCGGTGGTCGGCCTACACGGCAACCGGCGCCGGCGCCTTCCCCATGCCGCCAATCATCGACACTCCGACGTCGGCCTCGCCAAGTTACAATGCTCGCAATCCTCTCGCCAACTTTCCCTGGAGAACAGTCTTCCTCGCTGGCCATGCATGCGATGCGCCGCTGCCTGAATCCGCACCACGCCAGCATCAGATCATCGTCATGCGTCGTGGCGGCTGTTCCTTTAGTGAGAAGCTGGAGCGTGTCCCGAGTTTCTCGCCAGGGCCGAACTCGTTACAACTTGTGATTATCGTAGACGAGGGGCCAGAGGATGACGATTCCCAAGGCTCTGATGACATGGTGCGCCCGCTCCTGACGGTGGGGCAGTTGACGCCCAAGGGCATGGAACGGCTCAGCGGTATTCCCATGGTTCTCATGCCTGGTGCCAGGGGTGATTATGGGCGGTTTGGTGAGGCAAAGGGCGTGGGAATGCGCCGGAAGTATGTGGTTGAGAGTCAGGGGATGTTGATTGAAAACGCCATTGTGATATAAACCACATTATGCATGTCTCGGCGTTTGTCTTGGGGTGGCTTTTATGTAGCGAGTGGTTCCACGAGCATTTTCCGGTAGCGTGGGTACGAATAGACATCGTGGAATTGAATTGTTGACTCAGACATGAGACATTGTGTGAGATCTGGTGGAGAAGGGTTAAACCAACAAATGGAGTAAGTGACGGTTTTCAAAGCGAATTTCAGAGTCGAACCGAATTCGATCCTCATAGCAAAAAACATTGCAATCATTTCGTAATTAGATCGAGATCTTATGGTTATATCAACGTACCCTCCGAATCCCCTTTCTATATGCGCGAGCCCGAAAGACTTTTGTTGTTGAAAATAATACCCTCCACAAAAACGCCAACCATGTAAGATCTCAACAGGTAGGAAAATGCTGTAAAGTTTGGCCAGAGCCACGACAGACGATTCAAGTTCAGAAACAAAAAAGATGACAAAAGACTCGAAACTTCTAGCAGGATCCCCATGCCCGCGTCGCCGCGGGGCAAGCATTATGAGTTCGTCGACGTCGATCTATGGCCCGGAATCGAATATTCGCTGGAAATGGGATCGAAGAAGAGGAAGCAGGGCCTCCGCCACCTAAGCGTCTTCGAGAAGAATCTGAGTGGGGATATCGCCGAGCTTATCACGGCCGTTGAGGCCGGGAATCTGGAGAATAAACAAGTATCCTACAACCTCGCCCTTGAGCTGATGAACGAGGTCGGCCGCAGCCTTTGCGGAACCACCTAGAGAAAGCACGTCAGTCTGGGTCCAGGAAACGCTAGACATGATGCGATTATGAGGGGATTGGCTCACCCGTGGCAATGATATCGTCAACGACGAGGACTTTCTGGCCCTCACGAACGGCGTCTTCCTGCATCTGGAAGAAATCCGTGCCATACTCCTTGCCGTACTCGGCAGTGACACAGGGTCCAGGAAGCTTGCCCTTCTTGCGAACGGCGGCAAAGGGAACGCCGAGGCGGAGGGCGAGGCCGGGACCGAAAAGGAAGCCGCGTGCATCAAGGCCGATGATAACGTCAGGCTTGGCCTGGAAAGACTCGGTGACCTGGAGCTCAAGGGCGTTGACGAGAGTGGCATGGGCGGTTGGGTCGGCGAAGAGGGGCATAATATCGACGAAGTTGATACCCGGAATAGGGAAGTCGGGGAAGCTGCGCAGCGTCTTGCGCAAGCTTATCTTTGCACCGGCGAGTTCGGCGGTACGGGAGGAGGAGGAGGAGGGCTGTCGTCCCGAGGCATCTTGGCTGGCGGCGGCGGTAGACGTGGTGATGTTTGTCGCGGAGGATGGAGTGGTAGAGGAGACTGGCTCTTGGGCGCCCATTGTGGAGAGAGGAAGAAGAGAAGAGGAAGGAAGAGGAGGGGGAGAGAAGACGGAGTGAAGGAGGGAGGGGAGGAAGGAAAAAGGAAGGAAGGGGAGAGAGAGAAAAGAGACGAGGGATACAGGTTGGGAAAGGGCGAGCGGAGGCCGGTTGCCAGGCACAAGGAGGAGGGAGTGTGGTTTGGTTTTTGGTCGGTGGTCGGAAGAAGGACTGAGAAGGCGGGAGGAAAGTACGAACGAGGTACGTGCTCTGTATCCGCAAGGTACTTGGTAAAGATTTCGTACCTGACGGGCAGCAGATGTAGCAGGCAGGTACAATTCGAAAGCAGCAGGCAGCCCGGACAAGTCAACGCCGGGGCAGGGAAGGGGAAGGGAAGGTACGACGGACGGACAGGCAATGGCGACGGGATGAGGAAGGAGGGGTGCAGGACCGGAGGTGGTGCTTGGGCGTGCGAGGTTTGGTGGGGGAAGGGAATGGCAGGAGCGATTGAGCGATTGGGAGCGAGGGGGAGGGGAAACCCGACAGGGAAGCGCAGCGAGGCTACCAGGGGTGTAATGGGAAGCTGCAAGGTGGAGGAGGGGGAAAATTTTTTGGGCTCGACAACTTTTTTTCCTTCCTTTTTTCCACCTTTTTCCCTGGGCTGGGGACATCGGCAGCGATGAATTTACGGGACAGATTGGATGCGGCTGGTCGGAGGGCGGTGGGCAATGACCGACTTGTGGTCAATGCTAACACGCTCCAGGCAGCCCCAGCAGTGCCTAAGACTCTGGTCTTGCTCGACCGCATCCCGATGGGGAAGTACTTTGCTAGGTACATGGGGAGGTACTTTACTAATAACTCATACTTTGCTATCTTATTACTGGAGCTTGGTTCACCAGCGCCAGCGGATAAGCATGGAGCGCATCGATCAAGGAAGAAGACTGATGAGAATTCCAGAGAGTCGGTGTGGACGTAGCGGCATGGGAGCGTTGTTGAGGTTGAGACGGAAGCTTCCAAGGTGTTCTTCTCCGTGTAAGATTACACTCGTTGTTTGCATCGGAGACTATCCGGGTAACCAGCACAAGAGACTACGTGGAAAAGGGTGTAACTTGACCTTGTTCGAGTGTAGTACAACAGCGGATATATCGGTAACACAGGACAACCGTCTTGCATGGCTTTGTGAGCGCCTGCTGCTACCCCGTGACTGAATGAATGCCTAGCATGAAGGGTGCCATGGAGGCCAAGCACTGGGGTCATATCACACACCTTGCGAGAGACAGTGGTTGCGTCCACAAGCCGTGACAGTGGCAGCACGTTGTGCAATAGATCAGAAGCGAACCACATCATGGCCGACAGAACCCTTGTAAACAAAGACGGCAGTCGACTTGACGACGACGGTTCTGATCTGTCAAACGCCATTTCTTACCCACAGTCACTGCATGCTGCTCCCTTTGGGGCGGCTTGCATCTGGCCTTCTCCCATCACTTGCCTGCCCGCCTTTGGGATATGCCAATATTAGATCCATTGCTATGTAAGCTCCAAGTTGACCCCCTAGGAAATTCTCCCATTGGGTCCGGCCCCGTCCTGGCCCCAACATCGATCGACCCACGGATGAAGTAATGGCGTTTTCACACAGGCCAGTACTGGATGCCGTGACGAATTTCACATACGTGCCCGGCTCGTATCGTATACGTGTGCTTGCTTGCTTTCAAGATGCCATCCATCCATCCATTCCATTCCATTCCATGAATGCATGATGGCGAGAGGCAGCAAGCGGGTTCGGCATCAGCCCGGAGGCAGCGAATGAATGGCGCACGGCGCGAGTCGGGTGCGTGAGCCGTGAGACGCCGTGAGACCCCGGGCTGGCCTCCGGCGCTACTCCGTGCGTCTGGCCTACGTACCGTCAAGGTATACAGATCGCGGGACCAGCCCCAGCCCGGTGCAGCACTCAACCGCCACCAAATGGACCCCGTTGGGTTTTGGTTGGTCTTTGTTTTTTCCTTCTATCCTTCTATTTCGAAAATTTTTCCCACATGTTGCATGTCAATAATCAACTAAGGGACTGTGTCATTCTGATCCCGTTACCCCTAATTACCCCAGTGCCGCCGCCGGCTACTGGGTTTCCGGTCCTGGGTCTGTCTAGTCTATTAATATCTGTAGGGACCTATCTATGGATGCAACTGCAAGATCCAATGATGTTTCCAAAGGGTGGTATCTAGGAGGGTCCGCACCTGTGTTCAAGCAGGATACACGTGCGCCAATCTCGAGTGTCAGACTGCTCTTGAGACATGATACACGTATCAAGACGCAACGCCCTCGTCCTGGTGCCGAGCAAAATTACTGCGCTCCCGCCGTGAGCAAGGTGGATGCTCAAAGGGGCGCTAGAATTCTTCACTATGGATTTGCCGGAGCGGATACACGTTAGCCAGCGGCGGGCCATGGATGGACGGTGAGATGGAGATTGCCCATGACTCTGGCCCAATCCCAACCCCATCCCCAAACGTGCCCTACCCCTGGCCCGGGAAACAAACTGGGATCTTTGTGATGGGATTCAGGTGCTCCGGTCGATTTGGGCCTCGCTATTTTATTTCCTCAGCAGCCCATCAAGGCCATGCAATCGCCATGCTCCCCCTGGCGTGTGTGCCTGGTTCCCTATCCCCGGGTTCCCGGTTCAATCTACCAGGGCAGCACAGCCACACGGGCATGCACGGCGAGAGCTCGGGGAGAGCTGGAAATACCCAGACGAGAGAGGCCGGCTCACGGGAGAAGCCAGGCGTAAAAGGGGAGCGAGGCTGATGAGGCACGATTCGGGGTGAGATAGGTATCCATGCAAGGGCGTGCCGTAGTAACTATGCCAGCTCCAAGCCCGGCGGATCACCAGCCAGCCATGATATGAGGTACGATTCAAGAGCAGAGCGTCGGTGCTCTGCTGCTGTTCAGAATGGATACTTGGCTGGTACTTGGCGCTTATAGTCCCATGTCTGGCATCCATGGCCGCAGCCAGCTCCCCACTTCACAGCTTGGTGGCCATGGCTGAGCTTGACATTTCACCATCATCCATTACGACTTCTCACTGGAAATGACGACGTCGTACATATCCAACCAAGGCAGCGTCAGTGACAAATTCTCTCGGCTTCCTTGGGGGAGTGTGAAAATGGAGAAGAATCCTTGGTGTCGGAGAAGGAGTCGAAAAAGGCCAGGGATTAATATCAGAGCGAAACGGTGAACTGCCTCTTTGGGAAACGTCTTTGAAGAGCCGGAGACTCGACGATGGAACATGACAACCTCAGGACCTGGGCAATTTTCTTTCCTTTTTCTCAGGCAGCTGTGACGGGTTCCTCTTTTGGACTGCTACACTCATTTTACACTCTCACATTTTCTTCAACTGGTCTGGTCCCTGTAAAATGTCAGTTTCGTCCCCATCCATCCCGCGGGGAGGCTCCTCAATTAACGGAAGGTGCGTCCGTCGGGCGCCTGCCGTCCTCGGTTCCTTCCTGCGCTGGGGCTTCATGGTCCGATAATACTGCTGGTACTTGCCAGTTATGCGACATGCGTGCCTTCCTACATAACTAATTGCTATAATCTCCAATGGATAGTCGACAACTCCCCTCGGCTCTTTGTTTCCCTTCATCCTCCAATAATCTCCATCTTCACGCCATCATCATGCTTGTCGCATAAGCGAAGAGTTTTAGAGTTCTCATAGTCGCTCGTTAGATCTGACAGTCATGTTGTTGGAGCGTCCAAGTCACCAATTTCTGTTGCCCATCGATCCAGCCAACTCCTCATGGATATCCACACCATCCACTCAGACTGCGCGCTCTCTGTCCACTCCTTCAATCGACTCTGGCTATCCACCTGCTCCGCTGACGCCTCGGTGCCCACTGCGTTTCCGTTGTCCAGCCTTGGGCGCGATAAACCCATGCAGCATGCAGCCCGTCGACAAGCCATCGTTCCATGGTGCACCCAAGCCCTGGACTGGTCGGAGCCTTTCTTTATCGCCTCGGCCCTCTATTTGGTTCCGTTTCTGAGCTGAGAAACTTGCTCGCCAGCAAGAGCAACCCGTCTTCTAATCAGCGGATAATGCGCCTCGGCATGAGACAAGAAGACCAAGATGATTAACCTTGCTGGCCCTGGCTCGTGGGTCTTGTTTCAGAGCGGGAGGCGCCCAAGCACACACACCCTGGCGATGCCGACAGAATACCTACAGTACATGTGCTTGTCGCGAATGGGAGGGTATGTATGACTCTTCACTCGGGAGCCCATGTTTCCCAGCAATGGCTGCCCTCCCACTATGTGAGGGCTTCCCCAAACGATCCACGACGCTCCACCAGTCAGTGCAGCTTGGTGCGACTTGGGTTGCAACTGTGCGGCATCAAATTCCCCTGCATCAGTCCATACCTACATGGAGGCGACAAAGTCGTCCGGCCGAGTTGCAACAGTGGAGAGTTCGGTCTACACAAACTGCCTTCCTCCGGAGGAGACGTACGAACGCAGTGGACCCTGGACAGTCTTCCCCATTCCAGACGTTACGAAGAGCTCATCTCGATGAGTCCATTGCGGCCAAAACCGACGGCCAGGCTGCCAGGCTCGCTCGACTCATCAGGCTTCTCCGACCATCGCTCTGACAAGCTAGAAGCACCCCTGCTTTGTCGGCAAATCACTCGCAGTGTTCTGATGCTATCTACTGGGCAGGTTCCCTGTGACAATCAGCCCGCGATCCTCTGACTGTGACTCGGGCACGACTCCACCAGGCGGTTGATATCTGAGACTCTGCAACCCGATATGGATCCCGACGATGAGGCACGCACGTATGGACGGACCAGGTACCTTCGCGTTCACGCGCATGACATTGCATGCGCGTCGCATGGTTCTCTTTAGCCGTCTGTCCACCAGCCCGCCCAGATTAGAGCCCTCCAAGGCATTCGGCAAGAGGGTTCAAGATGACCTCGTCAGCTCGGCCGGGGTGGGTTCTTGAGGCTCGCAAAGGCGTTGCTGCGAATCATGGCCTCTCATGTATGACCAGTCCGCAATGGTGTTGCAACCTTTGCTCCAGCCCTGGTCCCGGTTGCTAGCTCCTCACTCTCACCACCCTGCAGAACTCTGATGCGTCTGCGTCTGCGTTTGGATCTGCTGCTCCTGCTTGCCTGTGCGTCTGCACCCGCGCCGCAGCCCGCTTCTGCATCGGCTTCTCTGCTTCAGTGTGTGCCTCTGGCCATGCCGGAGCCCATTGCCTTGTTCGTTTCACCCACCCTTAGCCTTATGCATCTGTCGTGACTCCCTCTCCCTGCTGTGCCACCATGTTCCCCCAGCCCTTCGTCCAATGTCTTGCATATTCTCCCCTCCAAAAACCTCTGACCGGCTGCCCGTCCATCACAGCATCATCTGCCCTCTCTTACACTGGTTGACCGGTCATTAATAACAGCAGAGTTTTGACCGCTGTTTGTAGCACTCTTCTTTCGACGAGAAGACGGCCGCTGGGGCTTGCATTAGCCGCAGTTGCGTCGTTGTCATCATGCCTAGTGGCGTTTGTCCGGGCCGTACACTCAAGCTTCGATACAAGCGTCCCCATCTTCTCCGATGGGCGATGATGCCATGGATCCCCCTACCAAGCATGGATATATGGGGCCGCTGTGCCAGCATGACATTCGTACAGGCGCCCAGCAGCCATGACCCAGCAACAGATCAATTATCAACTCAGATCCCATGCGACTGGACCTTTTAGGAAATGACCCTGCTATTGTTCAAACACTCGATGAGTTGAACCAACTGACCGGCATGGTTCTGTTGCCATGTCGCCATTTCTCTCGCCAGTATCGAGTTTCTACAGACATATCCACCATGAGACATGGAAACCTCTAGGTATCAGCTCAGCCCAGCAGACATGGTCCGAGTTTCGTGAGAAATGTGACAGCTCGGGAGGCATGCTGTCAAGTCTGCAAATCCCAGCCCCAGTGCCCCTCAGTTGACTATGCGCATAAGTTTCGTCAACCATAGTGCGCATCAATTGATGTTGAGAACCAAGAGTTGTGGCGGGGAAACTCTATATCAACGCCCTCCAGTCGATATGGACCCAACGCATACCACGCATGAGTTGAAACACGTCTCTGTTGATTTGCGTGACAGCAATTAACTTCAGACTCTATTAACGGTCTTGGCCGGTGGGAACATGTGATATCTAACAATGCTAAAGATGAAGAAAAGGAAACGACAACTCTCTAGAAACGTTCTAGCGGGTATCTGTCTGCGTCCCAAGTGCAGCTCACATTCTAACGTCAAACAAGTAAGCCAAACAAACCATGCATCATGCGAATCGCTATCCTGCAACGAGCATTGAAAGCCAACAACTGGCTGCAGCCAATAAACCAACGTCTCCAACAAGAGCCTCAAGCCGCTCAAACTCTCTTGCCGGCTGTGCAACCATCTCTTGGCAGCAAAACGCGTGGCCTTCACAGTATCCGTCCAGAGAGCCGCACCTCGGCATCCCTCGGCCCGTTCCGGCCCTCTACCTCATGGTCCCTGGATCTAGCCCCTGAATGATGACCTTGGCTCCGCGAGGCCGATCTTGCTCCACTCAGCGGAACTGCAATCGAATGATGGAGAAGAGCATGTTCTGCAACACGTGCAGCATAACTGCGACGCACGTCGGCATCAGCTCCGGCCAGACGGCAAGGTCTAGCTTCCCCTCTAGGCCGACGTCGATTTGGAAGAAGATACGGATAAGACCCCGCACAACGATACTCGCCACCAGCTCGCACGCCCACGTCACCGAAGAGGCGTAAAAGGTGACGTTGAAGTTGTAGGGCTCACCCTCGGTGTCAAAGGCAAAGTATGGGTAGACGTCCTTGTTGGCGCCAAAGTGCAGCACAAGGATGCTGCCCAGGAACGTAGCCATGGACACATTCTCGGCCAGGAAGCGGATGAAGACATTGCGAGCCTGGAGCTTTTGGTAAGATCCGTAGCTTTGCCCGTTAAGGCCCAAGATACAGAGGATCTTGTGCATCAAAGAGGTCATCATGATGGGAGTGATAACCACCAGGCTTGTTGATGAGAGGACCTGGAGAATGACGAACTGGGTTGGCGAACGAAGGCGTGCGTAAAGAGAGCGGACGTATGTCTGATAGGTCAACATGAAGTATCTGATTCGTCGTGTTAGTTGGTGCGTCGGAGGCGAAGGTCATCTCTCAAGCCTTGGCAGTTGTAGACTTACAGTTTAAAGACCCAGCTGAGAGGATAGCTCCCTACACGCTCGCCCTCACGGATACCCAACACCCAGCCCGTCAATGCGTCGAGGAGATGCACTGTCGCGACCCAGCCATAGACATAGACAACTGTCTCCAAGTTGTTATGTGGAAGAGTCCGCAGGTAGATCTCAGCATACGCCTCTCCAATCACGTACGCCATCAACCCAATGAACAAGGCCACGCAGAACCACAGAAACCGCACAAAGCTCGCCGGCAGCCAGAGTCGACGCATCCTAACGCCTTGCGGTCGCAAGTCCGGCTCGACCCGGAGCATATCCGTGTCGAACAGGTCGGCGGAGATATTACGGCGCCGGCGGTCCCTGCCCGACAACGACTCTGGTTCTCCGGTCCACCATGACGTAGTAAAGATGCGCTGTGTCTCGGAGAGTGAATGTCGGAGGCCAATGTGCCGCTCGTTTGTGGTAAGGATGAGAAAGGCGATGGCGACGGGCATGGCCATGATGATAAAGGTCCACGAGATCCATGCTGTGTTGTGAACGGTGAGGAAGCGGGTCGCACTGTTCATGTATATCGGTATGGGCAGGGCGATGGACAGAATGGCGATGAGAAACACGGTGAGTGGGAAGCCGAGAGACTGCGGCCACCAGTTGAGACTGTAGAGGTTAAAGACCTTTGTGATCCAGATGAGGGCGGTGAGGTTATAGAAACCATAATAGACGAAGAGGAAGAACCAAAAGTTGACCTGGACTCGTGCTGCTCCGTGGCCAGGCGCCTTGGGTTCGTGAGGTAGGCCGTCATCGTCGTCATAGTCGTGATCTCGTCGAAGGGAGTATTGGGGAAAGGGTATAGAACACCAACCCACGGCCTTTTTTTCATGTCGGTCCAGTCAGTCCCAAGCCTCACCCTTTACAAGAGGCCATTTCAACATACCAACAAGGCCGGCATCAAGACCAGAAACCCATATCTGCTCCACCACTTGTCCACGACCCTCTTCACGGCCGATTGCCTCGGGTCGACCCAGATATCCAGCACCCACCGCTGCCAGGCGCGCTCCCACGCGGTCCTCTCATCTTCTAGCCCGTCGCTACTGGTGGTACTCCCAGCGTCATCGATGTGCGCGAGCTCTGCGGCGACAGCACTACTGGGGACGGCGCCGTAGCCGAGGATGTGAACGCTGCCGCGGCCGTCAAAGGCGGCGGTGCTCGATAAGAGGCCGAGCTGGCTGTGTCGTCGAGGTACAACACCCGGGCGCGGGGGCACGGCGCGGAACCGGCCTAGAAGCGGAGTCGAGTCGTTTGGGCGGACGCGCGACTCGGAGCCCTGCGTGAACTGGAAGAAGCTGGGCATGGGATGTCGTCGAGGGAGGGCGGGTTGCGGGCCGGACTACATCGATGTCGGAGGGAGGGTTGTTATATCATGAGTGGACGTTTTTGTCGTTTCGATTAAGATTTAGTAATCATCGAGTCGTTATATAATCGTGCAGTACCAAAGAATTGAATCCAAGAGTCAAGGATGAGAGAATTAGTATCGAGTCGTTGTTCGTTGGTGTTGGTTGTTTTTGCGAATTGTTGGGTATGGAGGTTGCGGTCAGGCCCGTCTCTGGGTATCTCTCGGCTGATAATAAGCAAAGTGGAAAACAAGGGTCCAATCTCCTGCCATGACGCGCGCCCCCAGACGAGACGCTAGAGATCAGCGGGCTTCAGTGGAGTGAGTGCGTGAACGATAGGCCAGCGTTGCAGGGGCTGGACCCTTGCTCGGGACCTTCAGCTGAATCTTGATATCAGACCTCGAACCAAGTTTCTTGGTAGGCCACGGGGTCAGATCTATCTTGTGAAAGAGGCATTTTGATAAATCGCATGCCCAATATCCATGGGTAAGTATTACAAGAACTATAACGTTTTTATATGCATATATGTACATCTTGCGCATCTGGCAACACCATATCGCTCATTCCGAGGATGTACTCAGACTCTCAACTAAGGATTCCTCATCCTTTTCATCTACAAGCACACCCCCGGCGATATCATCCGAAAAGGCCACCGTCTTTGCCGAGTTGTGCTTCGAGGGCTCCAGCAAGTCACCGCTCCAAGGCTTGCATTCCCTGACATGCTCACCGCATCGTAGACATGTCCAGCCCTCTCCCTCCTCCCGCTCCAGGCGGGTTGCCAAGCACACAAAGCAGTACACACAACCACAAGGGATCGTCTCGTATGGGTTGGTAATGTCCGTTTGGGCTGAGCCGATGACACCACTGGAGGCTGCCGCCGCCAGGATCTCTGTTTCTGAAGTCGCAGTGTCGTTCTGGTCCTGATAGCAGATGGCGCATGTCCTCTCGGGGAGGAATGCATATTCTCCATTGGCCTTGTTGCCCTCTTCTGGCCCTGTCCTAATGATATCCTTGGTTTTTCGCCATGTCCGGGTCAACCATCGCCGCCACCGCTGGATACCAATCAAAGGCAGCACAAAGAGTAGAAACTCAGTAAAGGCGTGCCAGACAAGTTGTCGGTTGAGATACTCAAACGAGACCTCTCGGCTGACCTGGCTAGTGGGTGGCGCAAGCCTCATCCGTAAAACTCTATCGAGTAGTGTTCGATATCGGCCGTGCAGCAGAAAGATAAGGAAGGAGACGCATGCGGCGGCTGAATGGACAGTCGAGAGGGTGGATGTCAACCGCGAGAGCCGCTTTACTCGCGGGCTGGGCTCATCATATCCATCATCATGCTCCAGCAGCCAATCCTCCCATCTTGTCCAGGCGTAGTTCCCAAATACTGTCACCATCCCGTAAAGCGATTTTTGCACCTTGGAGGGCGCCTTGAGGATGGGTCCCTCTCTCCTGGCATCCGTGTATTTGAGGTTCTGAAGAGCCGCGCCGTATGTCGCATCGTGGTCCCAGACGGTGAGCTTAAACAGCACTGCCCTGAGGGCTAGCATGATCTCGGCCGACCAGTCATCGTGGAGATGTCCTCCGCCAAAGTATTTGAGGCCTTCGCAAACTTGATCCTTGAGGATGTCCAGCAGCTCCACGTCAAGTAATTCGGCATCAACCTGTCCCACGCGAAAAGCAGGTCGTGTACCCTCTCTCGTCGATATCGCGTCCCAGGCAGATCCGATGCGGCCGAGGGGAAAGGGTAGGCGCTCGAGGCTGGATCGGGTTCGGGAAGATTGCCGTTGTGCAGCGATACGGGCTGTGGCTTCGGCCTCGCGGGCCTGGCGGCGCGCAGCTACGCGGCGCTGCGCTTGGACGAAGCTCGAATCGGTCATCGGGTCGGTAGCATGAGAGCGGTCGTTTAGAGCGCGGGTGTTGGAGTTTCGGGGCGTTGGACAGTCGAAGTTTTGGTCAAGGAGAATGTCACATGGAAGCGAAGGGGAAAACGCGCCAGACTCTCCTTGTCAGCTCCGGTCTCTGGGGTTGGGCGGAGCCACATGACGACAGAGCTAAGCGGCTGTCTAACAGACCTCCACTGAGAAGCCGAGGTGTTGTCGGCTGGGGAAAATGCCCGCGTTTTTCGCGTGCCTGCCAGGCCAGTGGGCTCTTGCGCTCGGTCCCTCCCCGCGAAATCGGTCGGGACCACTTGCCGCAACGAGAAGGTCACGGAAAAGGCAGTTGCAACGCAGAACCTCCTTAGTAGGAAAGGGTCTATTCTAATCGTTCTAGAATAGAACTGTCTTCCATTCATCAACATCGACACCGACGCTTTCGTCTTCGGATCCCCATTGAACCAGGAACCCGGCATCGGGTATCACCAGTGTGAATACCCTTGGCGATGGCCGCTTTCGTCAATGAATGAGCAGAGAAGGAGGGCGCTTGGACAATCCTCAAGTCTGTTTGCATGGAGCAGAGTCCCAGAAGCCTGGGTCTAGGGACGCTCACGATTGCCGGCGGCAATCGACACCAAGTACATTATCAAAGCTCTCTCGGCAGCAGCAGGCTGCTGCATGTTTGCACTGCTGGCTTAGCTTGGCACCCAGAATCCCTCCTCGAGGAGACCGGTGTTCAGGCGAGAACTCGTCAGTGGATACCCTTTCAACCTGAGCAAACAATCAGAGCGCAGCTGCGCAAGTATTTGAGACAAGTCGGCCGCTTTGGGAAACTCCTTCTCAGCCCACTGTCTGGGCGGGAGATGTCCAAGGCCCGCGCCGAGTGGCTGCGCTGAGTGATGTTGATCCAGGCTTCAAACAACATGTCTCAGAGCCCTCATCCTCACTGGCAGCCTTAAACATCACCTTGCGTGAGAAAGAGGGGACACATTCTTCGACATCACACAGTGTCTCGGCAAGGAATTCAACACGAAGCATGCTATATCAAGATGTAATGACGGGACGCTCTGCACGGTGGGCCAGTTGCTCATCTCCCCTGAACCTCGAGATGGCCAACAACTGGTACGACCAACAAACCGGACTCTCGATGAGCCGACTGTCTCAGCTATCAGAGATGGCGTATGCCTCCCCTCCACAGCCTGGCAACGTGGAAATGCGGCCTGCCGTTTTTGACAGATTCAGCCCCCAGCCTTTGACCGAGAACCCAAATCCAAGCCACACAACGACCAGACCAGCCAACTCGGTTCGTAGAATCAGCCCTGGGCCATTGTTCTGAGATTTGAATGCAACTTTGCTCGTTTGCTCCCAATCACATCTCACATCTTGGGAATTGCTTTTGCTTGATGGTGACGATCAGCTCCTCTTCGTGTCACCTCGATTACCTGGTCCGGCAGCATTTAACAGTATCAGGGTCATGCGGCGATGGCCCCTTTATTTCCCTCCTGCCCTCACAGAATGTGCTTCTAACCCAGAGCGTTGATAAGTAGGGACACGGACTTGCTCCGGGTGTCTGTTGGTTCAACAAACATTCCCCAGTTTGCCGCCTTGTGACACCCTTCCCGTATCTAGCCCGCTCGTTGGGACGACCCAACAAAGGGAGTCTTGCTCATCCTTGGACTTCTTTCTCACCTCTCACCCGCACGATTCGGTGTATCGGTCAAACCATGGCAAGTCCATCTCGAAACGACGTTTCAGCTGCGTCTGAACCCCAGCCGGTTCAGTTGCGAGCCGGTGCGGTGCGTTCTCGAGCGAAACATCGTGCTTCTCTAGCCTGCGTTCAGTGCCGTCAAAAGCACATTCGGTGCGATGGAGTCCTTCCAGCTTGCTTTCGATGTAAGACCGACCATAGGAAGTGCGTCTATGCCGAATCACGTCGAGGAATCCGAGACCCAAACAAGCGGAAGAAGATGAAGGAGGAGGCTATGAAGGCCGACCGAGATGAATCATCCAACAGTACGCCATCACCCAACTTTCCGGGCTTCGAAATCCCCGCCCATGTCATCCAGAGACTCCCTGCTGGCTGGACGAACCGAGAGGCACAAAATCCTCGTGCCGTTAAGGATCTATTCGACCTTTACTACGCCAACTTCCACCCCACCCACTCATGGTTGCCGCCGAAGAAGACTCTCAGTCGCCTCGTTGAGACAGTCCCAGATGACTTCAAGTTCACCATGACCATGATTCTCTACGTGGGATCCAAGTATGCCGACAACGTGGACAGCACGTCACTACGCAATGACGCCTACGAGATGGCTTCAGGGGAGTTGCCCGAGACAGTCTGGTCTGTCCAAGCGCTACTATGCATGTGTATTGCTGCCTTTGGAGAGCAACACGACGACTACTGCAGCCTGTGGTTTGACCGGACCCGTGACCTGGCTCTTAGGCTAGGGCTCCAACACAAGAGCTTCGCCGATGCGGAGGAGGACCCTATTCTGGCCGAATCGTATCGAAGAACATACTGGGCGTTGTATACACAGGGATCACTGAGGACGGTCCGGGAACATCTTGGTCATTGGCAACTCTACCATACAAGGGCAACAACAGAACTTCCATGCGAAGAGTGGGAATATGAATCAGGCGTCAGTGGTGCCATTCATTGTGTGCCTTGTATACTAACATGTTGACAGAAAATTCCAATCCCAGTAACCCTCGAGGACTACGACAAGAGGGGCCCCTCGAGACAATACTCTTCATGGGCATACTTTGTGGACCTAACTCGCATCTGTGGCCAATTCGTCGTGCCTCTCCTTAATGTTGGGGAGGTGGCATTTTCAGAGGCCATGGATAATGCGAACCTTCGTGTCGAGTCGTGGATATTGCAGATGCCCCCGTGGAAGAAAGATCTTGTCGACATCAATGGTGCGGTTGATATGATATTGTACCACGCGGTAAGTAGGTATACTATCCAGGCATTGAACAGGGGCTGACGGTGGATGAGCTACAGTTAGGGATTGCTTATGGGTAAGTCAAATGACAGCATGTTGCCAGGCTCGTGCTAACTATTGAAAAGTCTTCAGATTCGGATGCAACTCCATTACAAAGGCGTGAGACCTCAAGACGGTGTTCGAGAGGTTGCCAGCAGGGGTTTCTCTGTGCTCAGCAGTTCGCCTTCCCCTCCTGCAAGCGTGACTATGGGGTCCAACCCTCGGTTACCTGGATCAGCAGCTGTCCAGGCATCGCTACACCTCGTCTCATTGTTCAACCTCCATCTTCCACCGGAGAATTTTTCTCCATCTTGCATCTTGGGCCTTGAGCGGGCAGCTCTACCACTTTTTGATGCCTTGCTCTATGGACAGGGGCAGCCAGTTTACAAGGTCAAGATCTCGCTTTTGGTGAGTGTGCTGAGAAATGCAGGCAAATTCTGGCCCAGGTCGAAAGTGGTCTCGGAAGAGATTGAAGAAGCAATGAGAGGGGCAGCAGATATTATCGAGGCTGCTGAGCAGTTGCAGGAGATGCAAGAGATGCAGGATATGCAGGATATGCAGACGACACCCGATATGTTCGACTCGCCTAGTATGGACGAGGAAGATCCACCCACCGAATTTGCACCTCCGGTATTTACGACGATGGGCCAGATGGATTCTTGGACACAAGTACAACCACAAGCTGCGAATGTGGAACCAACAACGGAGGAGATGGCCCAGTGGTTGGGGTCGGAAACTGAACTCCCAAAGACTGAGGAGCCAACGCTGGAGACGCATGATGTTCCACTCTCGGGGCCTGGAGAGATGGCGGCTGGCATGGAAGCTGCTCCGCTTCCAGTGATGGAGAATATGACGTTGAATATGGAGGCTACATCACTTCAGGGGGCTGAGGAGCCGGCACTGGGTGCAGAAGCCGCTGCATTTCCGAAGACTGAAGAGGACACGATGGTCATGGATGCTATCCCTGTGGCACCTTTCCCTCAGGCGGAAGCGGGGCCCTCGGATATGGAGGCTCATCCAGGTATGCCGATGTCATATGTCAAGACTGAGGACCAGTGGTTTTAGGGAGTTGGAGCTAGGAGCGAGGGAAAGGGCTAGGTATGGGATTGTCTGGGCCAGTGATAGTTTGAGATTAGTTCTTGCTACTTCCAGTGGGGTACATGGTATTTCTTTTTGTATAATGGGTGGATATGTGGGTTATCAGATCCTGATTGCAAATATCCATTGTTGTGTATTTAGGATGACTTTGATTACTAGTGCGACTTTTCCTGTTGAAACTCACATCAAAGCAGTCATTTGAGTTGGCAAGTGATTCAGTTTAATCTCCGTCATGTTGTTTTGTTTGTATGGCATTGAATCAAGGTAGGGTGCGTGAGTGTTGGTTGTCGCGACTGGGCCTGGTTTTTGTGTGGAGCTGTGTCTTGGGTATGGGCCTGGAAACCAACAGGGTTCTGAGACTGAACCGAATGTTGGATTTCATTGAGGCTCTTACATGACATACACCTTGGCTGAGAGCAAGGCGGGAGACAACGACTATATTCAAGCAGATGGAATGCAGAGTTGGGTAGTTAGCATAGTGTCAGTTGGTCATGGCGTTTCGGGATACGCCCAAGATACATCAGATCCTTTATTTAATGGGGAAGCAGTGAATTATGCACATGGCATAATTTGAGTCTTTATATACTTCAAGTTCGGCACCGACAATGAATATATCTCTTTATGCTGTTGCTTGCTTGGTATATATAGTTACTGCTTCTCAATCATTCGCCTTGAAGTCAAAGAAACTCACTTACCCTACACTCACGATAATGAAATGGAATGCTCGGGCACGGGACCCTGTCAGCCTCCCCACCCCCACCTCGTTATTGAAGGATCGATTGGCGGGCGCTAGAGCCCATGGCCATGCAGGGATCCTTCCGTTCCCCACTAAATGGATCCTAAGAGGAGGGGAGCCTTGGCCTTTGATAGCGTCCATGGCCGCCTGCTCTTACATCATTCATTCATCGCGACAACCTCAGGTCCATGCTATTTACCGCGCCCCATTCACCGCCAGGCACCGAGAACGACCGCTTTGATATTCACGTCGTGAATGCGATCTAACGAAATTGCGATTTTCAGGCCGATGACTCATCGTGCCTAGATTTACGACATTTAAAACCGACTTGCGATTCGTTACTTGCACCACCTGTTTCGGCTATAAACACCACTTCGCCGCCCACCCTTTTCACTGTTCGATGCGACTCGGAGCCTCGCGCAGCCTCGCACCAGTATCTAATACCCTCCGCGACAACATCGGTCATACCTGCTCGTGTTAGTAGCAACCATGACGCGACGGCGCGAGCTCCGGCCCGAGGACTCGTGGCGCGTCGTCGAGGGCGAAAACGACAGCTTCGACACGAGCATCCTCCCGTCCCTGGCCGACTCTTCGTCTCCGCCCATCTCCTCAGGCGGTGTACCTTCACAACCGTTTTCTCAGGGCGATATAAGCTTCGGTTCGCAGGACAGCATCCGCGACTTTGGCGTCGACGAGGGCGACATTCTGAGAGAACCGTTTCGTCCGAGTCTGTCTCGCGCCAGCGTGAGCGCAACTGGTGATCCTGTATTCAGATCGCCCGATCCCCAGTTTCATATGCCGCAGATAGATGTATCAACCGACGCGACAGGAAGCACCAGGAGCGAGAGAACGGTCAGGGGCCTGGGGATAGGATATTCGGGCGACCAAGGCGCAAGAAGACGGGGGTTCCCTCCGCCAGGGAGCCCGCCGAAGCAGAGGACTTCGCGAGCGAGACACAGCACTGCCGAAGAAGAGTATTACCGCTATCGCCGCCAACATCGGGGAGCGCCTTCAACCTTTGGGAGCCAGTTCGCGGGATCTGTGCCTCTGACGCTGTATAATGTACTCGGCTGGTTCACGGGAATCTTTGCCCTCGCTTTCCGATATGCTCAGCGACCGCTCGCGCTTCTCCTCGCCATCTACCTCTGCTTCGGCGGTCTGATTATCGCACAGAACATGGCAACACGCTCCATCGCGGCGTCACTCTCTCCGTTGTGTAGGATACCCGGCCTCTCCATGTTTGGGCTTCCGTTCTGTCCTTCCCTCGACACCATCGTGACGCCCGAAGCTGGAGCGTCGCACGTCGAGTTTGACCAGCTCATGGATGTTCAGTCCAAGTTTGAGCAGGTGTTGGAGAAGAGCGCCGACGGCGTGTCGCTCCCCTTTGAGATGAAGCGCTCCGAGATGGCCATAAGAGATCTGCGCACTCTTATTCGGCACAGCGACGTTTCGAGACGTGAAGAGCTTGTCCTTGAGTTTGACGGTTATATCGACACAGCTCGTCAGTCAGCCACAGACTTGCAAAAGTTCAACACGCACGTTGGCTCATCCGTCGACGCAATCATCAGCATCAACCGTTGGACATCTCGCTACATCGACACTCTGGCCCCATCCGAGGAGTCTACAAGCTCCCTCTCGTCCACTTCCCCCTTTGTCAGCTGGGCCTCGTGGCTCTTCCACCCTTTCCAGCCCACCAGCGACCACATGTTCAACGAGCGCATGCTCCTTGACAAATACATCGAGCACACGGCTCAAGTCTCGAACCGAATCGCGGCGTTGATCCTCGAAGCCCAGGCCGTCCTCCGCCTCTTCACACAGGCAGAGGACTACCTAAATAGAATTTACGAGATCACAACCCTCTCGTCGATCGACGCCGAAGAGCAGCGCGACTCCCTCCGGAGCCTCTGGAACCTCGTCGGCATCACCACTCACGGGCATGCCCGCGTCTCCCGCCAGATCGCCCTCCTGCGCCAGGTTGATGACCAGCGCACAACTGCCGTCGCACAGGTGAGCGCTCTCATCCTCGAGCTCGAAAGCATCCAGCAAGGACTCGGCGATCTGAGGGACGCCGTCGCACAGCCCGAGCTGCTGCGTTACGGGGCCGGTGGTATGGCGCCCCTGCCGCTCAGCGTGCATATTGCGACCATCGACCTTGGCGTTGAGCGCCTTGAGGATGCCAGAAAGCGGATCCGTGCCGCCGAGGACGACCGTGTTCGTGATGCGCTGGCCAGGGTTGGAGTGCCCGACGAGCGGTTGCTTGGGGGGCAAGGAACACGAGAATGAGTGACAAGGAGGGGATACGAAGATGAAGCATCTATGGGTAATGAAGGAACGACCGACAAAGTACATAGAAGGAATGGAATCAAGACGGACAGGACATATGATTGGCTTTGTAACTAACATTGGGTTGAGCGGCGTTGGAGCGTTTGGCCGTTGGCGTTATTGCACATGATGGATGATACCAGAACCTGGACATGATTTGGGTATCAGAGAAACAAACATATTAGTAGCCATGGATAAATAACATAGAGGCGAATTTTGTCATATTCTGGGACACTGTACTCTGGTGACTTTTGCTCTACTGTCTTATCATCCAAGACTAATCACCTGCAAGCACCATCATTCGTTGAGCAGGCCATGTTCATTTGCTTCTTTGTACTCAATGCGCTCAAGTATATCGTCTCAACACTGACTGACACCTTGCCGCAGTTACCAATCCAACATATTGGTACGCATCACTGCTACCTCGCAAGTGAGGGCAGCCATGCTCACAAATAGCCCATCTCCATGGACAAGATATCTACATGACGCTTAGAACCCCATCGTCATTGCTTCAGCCGCCAGACCCCTTACATAACCAAGATCATGGTTGTCGTATCAGCCCGCCCAACGCCGTGTTCAAATAAAGTTAACCCAATGCACCCGAACCCCTCGTGAACAGTAGTCGTAGAATAGTCCCCTTTCCGTGGTATGGCCCAATATCCAACAAAAATGCCTGCCAATCCCATAAACGCCAATGCCATGCTTTGTCCCAAGTAAATGCAATGTGAGATGCCATCTAAGTCCCAGTGTCGTCCCCGAATCATGTTAGAAATATCCAGGAAAAACTTTTGAAATTGCACGAAGCCCTACATTGTCTGTTAATTCATGCCTCAATATGCTTCGAAATGTTGGCCACTCACATATTGCCCTTTGAGAATCCGGGTCGTCAAAGGGTGCATTCTTGGCTGCAATTTCGCGCATACGCTGTCGAGCGAACGAGGAGGGACTTGCGCGCCCTACTGCTGGTGTGATCAACTCGGAATTTTCTGGTTGTGTCGGTAGAAGGTTCAAAGCCCGAGGTCTCGATCGTCTCGGCTTCGTGGCCTGGGCTGTAGCAGGAGGACGTGTGGTCGCTTCGGGCTCCTCGGGTTGTGAGGCGGTTGACGAAGGCGCTGGTGGCGTATCCGAGTGTTCTGACACCTCCGCTGTTGTGTCTTCTGCGGGACGCCGTCTGAACTTTCCTAGCTTCAGGGAGACTAAGGGCGAAGAGGCAGGTCGAGTGGGTGATGTTGAGGTTCGGAAAAGCCGTTTGCCCCAGTCTCTGATCTTGGTACTGTCTGTTGATTCTTCCGACAAATCCTCCAGGTCGACCCGTTCCCGTAGTCGTCGCAAGGCACGTTCGCGACGAACCATGCCGTTCGTAATTTTGGGGCTGTAGCCTCTTGGCAGCATGCAATGCTTGCACATGGGACAAAGAGAACTGTTTTGCAACAGAAACTCATCGATACACTGCGGATGAAAGATGTGTCCACAGGGGAGCTCTCGGATGATGGTCACTCGGTGGTCGAAATTGGCGAGACAGATATGGCAGCTTGGCTGGAAGTTGGTGGCAGCATTGTCACCAGTGACGCCCAAACTGGATCGCTTGCTCCGAACACTGGCACCGGAGCGAATGCTGCGCTGATCGAGTCCTCGGCTGCTTCGTAGACGGCGGGTGGACGAGGGGGTTGGAGGAGCGGCCATCGACTCGGGGTCTGCATTGTATGTGAAGAGAGGGAATGCGCGCACGTGAGTGGCCGGCACTGTTAGACGCTTGATACCCATTGCCTCGAGGTCTACCTCGCCGGTTTCGACTCTTCGCCTGAGAGATATTCGACGTCGCCGTTGAACTAGGTGCATGGTAACCGAGACAAAGGCAATGATGGCCAGGAGAGCACCGATGACGATCAAGAAAAAGGCCCAGAGAGCTGGCATATCAGACTCATCGTGCAGCGAGAGCTCGGTCCATATTCGAACGTAGTCTTTTGGATTCGGGCCATAGAGCTTGTTGATCTCGCTTCCGTAGGGGACGTCATCGATGCGACCTGAATATAGACTCAGCTGTTGCATGATACTCTGACCTTCCCTTCCCGAGACAGCGTATATGGGATATTTGTTGGCATTCCTCCAGGCCCCGCCATCCTCGAGATTCCACACAGGTGAGTCCGCATCTTGGGGTTTATTTGACGAATTGTTGGGCTTGTAGAAGATGAAGGCGCGAATGGGGTCGAGACGCGCGGATGCGAGGTAGGATAGGGTGCAGTCGATGCTGAACCAAGGAGCGAGGGCAATGAGATTGTAATTCGTGGGAGGTAGGTTTTCTCGTCGTGTCACATTTTCGGGTATGAATTCGTACTGTTGTTGGTCACATTCGGGATAGCCGTCGAGGTCTGGGACGTAGAGGAGGCCAGAAATGCTCTGGCGTGAATCGGCATTGGTTGATGTCAAGGTGGTGATGTTGCTGGTGATGCGCTCCTCATATGCCATCTGCTTCTGCTCGTGGGATGTTAGTCGAGACCGGTCGAAGCATGGGATTGCCTTGACGTGAGCGACTTGGGGGTCGAGTCAAGGGCGGTGAACGCACCGAGAGAGCCGTGAGGTTTCTGATGATTGTCGACGGGACCGTACTGGCGCCGCTCCATACTGGATTGCTAAACAGGAGGCTAATATCAAGTCAGCGACATGCGCACGAGGGTGACGACAGATATCTGTCTCAGTGTCGCGAGGTCGTGGCGGTAGAGACGACAACGGTGGGAGGAGTGGTCTGCGTGAGGGGGAGTCGACAACATGGTGATGATAGGCGAGACGGGACAGATACAGCAACGACAAGCGAAGGGATTCGCGACAAAAGAAATCAACGGTAAGCTAGAAGAACATACACGGCATTTCGTATCTCGGTGAGCGCTGGGCGACTGTCAGTTCAGTTCGTGGGATGCCAAGACTGGGGTAGGATGGGAGGCTTCTTGGCCCTCAACCCGCAGGAGCGGATGAGGAGCAGGAACGGAAGTGGACGGAGACCGTTCGGGTACAGCGGGAAAGAGCGAGGAAGCGCGGGACAAGATGACAAGACCGAGTAAGGAGATGAGGACTTACACATGCTTCTAAAACATATTCAATCATGGAATTGTAGGCATGGTATGGCGGACACCGACCGCGCAGAATTGAAGCAGCGGCCAGGTTGACAGGTGATGGTTGGTGGTGAAGACAAGATGACGGAGTGTGATAAGGTACGGAGGAATTTGCGGGAGCGGAAATTGAGATTAAGCAAAGAGGCAGGAGGGCGGTCGATTTGGGGCTTCTGGGGGAGGGAAGGAGCGGAAGAGACAAGCGAGAGTGCGAGTGGGAGTGGAAATGGCCCGGGCACTGGAAATAGGTATGCTTGGTGGTCGCTCTTGACGGACAGACAGAGATGGGAGACTTGGGACTTGCGTCTTGCGAGGAAGGAGGGAATGAGCGAGTGAGTGGATGGATGGGATGGCGCTGGTGGAGTTTAGAACCGTGGAGAGCAACCTGAGTGGGTGGAGAAGGAGACACACACAACGCGAAAGGGAGGAGCAGCGCCTCAAGTGAGCGTTTTGGGGGATGGGGAGATGCTGCTGGCCGACGCCAAAGAGAGGAGAGGGGAGGGGGCAACGATTCATGGAGACGAGACGCCTGCCTGCCTGCAGTGACCTGGCCTGGCCTGGCCTGCTTCGTGCTGCTGCCCGGCTGGGAAAAGATGGCAGGTGGTACGTAAAACCCGGGAATTGGAGGTGGAGTGTGAATGGGGTCTGTTGTTGGTGGCGCGTTCGGGGGTGAAAGCCGATAGGGGAGTGAGAATAAGATGAACCAGGGTCAGTTCGCAGGGGTTTTGTCTCGATGAGGCCGACCAGTCCGAATCTAGTTATCGCCTTGAGAGCACAGTTCTGTAGGGAACAGGAGAGGAATGGAATCTGAGAAGGGGCAAGATGTTGCTGTTAACCAAGGAGATAATAGTCTGTGAGCAAGAAAACGAAAGACTGCGAGAGACCAACGAGTCCAGGCACAGTCCAGGCACGCCGAGTGCAGAGCCAAGGAGCTAGACCTGGAAACACGCACGATCATGACGGTGACGACTCTCTCTAATGCGAATCAACCAACTCCCAGCACATCTTTTAGTTGCAGGAACAGGGCAAAAGAAAGAAAGCGATGGCGGCGGCAGCAATTGGCGCCAAGCCGGGATCATCTGGCGGAACCGAGAACTTGGAACTCTTGGTGCTGAACGCTTTCCAGAGTGCCAGAGTAGGTATCACCAGCTTGGCCTGCTGTTAGGCATTGTGTGCAATGATTGTCACGACACGGGCAATGCCGTAAAAACGCCGATAGCGGGCAACATGTGAGTCCAAACCGGACGAGTTCTCGCCATGACGTTCAAGTGGCCGGGAATAATAGTGAGTGAGGTGATGTCGGTCTCGGAGACGGGAGCCAACGCCAACAGTATCGCAGTCGCTTTCGCTTTCGCAGTCGACCCATAATACTCGCTCACATTCACAGAAACATTTGTGTGTAGATTGACGAGATATAAACAGAACAAAAACCATTTTAACGGACCCTTGAACATGACGGGAGGTTCGTTTTGGCTCCTGCCAAGCAAGTTGATCAAGAACCTACGGAGTACATCGGCAGGTACAGAAGAGAGATCCATCTTGGAAGGTACGGACGGCGGGAGTTCCGAGGCCCGAGCTTGTCAGCTCTCACGTCCCGTCTCGTCTCAATCAGCCCTGGAAAGCTCCCGTCTCCCGTCACAGCATCAGATCAGACCAGCATCAACTTCAAACAAGGGGAGTCAACCATCAGAATCCACTAAATGCAAACTTCCCCACGAACCAAAAGCTTGTTGAGAGTCACTTGGTCAGATTAGGTCATACGGCCCGCAATGCGACTCCATCCAGTCTCTCTTTCTCTCCTTTTTATCTCTGGTTTCAGGGATCATCGTCTCTAGGATGTGCCTGATGCCTGTTGCCGCCCAACAATTGGAACGCTGACCTTTCCTTTGTGCGTTTTTAACACCTGGATCACTCGAGAAAAGTCATTACTTTGGCTGCTGATGACATGGGAGCTGTCGTGGAGCTTACGGCTCGTTGCAACCTGAGACGGAGCCCGTCGATTCAGCGAGTGGGGTATTTTGGCAACAAAGGATCGGTGGCGCCTCAGCTGGACTCGAATTGGGATGGATGCTTCGGACACGGCCCTATTCCGTTCGTTCTCAAGAGACGATCCCGTATCTTTCAAAGGAGACAGGGAAAACTCGCTTTCAAGTCTTCTACACACTCAAGGAGTAACGAGTTGATGCTGAGGAGAATGGAATCGAAACGACTTGGATAGGGATCCGAGCCGAATCGGATCTGCACTTCTGCCAAGCTCTGTGCCCAAAAGCTTGTCTGTTCGAGACGTTCCAGCGGCGCCAGCCCACCAAGTCGTGATGAGCAGGGGCGCCGGCATAAACGCGTTTACGCGAACCCTTGAGCTACAACCTTGACGTTTCCATCACAGCCTGCCGTGAGCCGGACGCCCCAGAAGCCTCATCTCTCGTCTTAACAGGACTCATTGATCAACACTGCCTGCTGACTGACGAGGGCTGACCCAAGGGGTTGTGGAGTTGATGGCTGATCCGTCGATGGCAATGTCGAGCCCTGCGGGGATTGGCAGTCTGGTCTTCAGCAGTCACACATCAGAAACGCTGACAATCTCTGCGGATGCAGAGACCCTTGATCCTCGGGGCCTTGCGACTTTGTACGCGGAACCAGGGTCAGTTCACAGTGTCATGTCGCTGGGCGATACTGACTGGCTTGCCCTTGAACAATACCACCCACCCCTCCCCTGTCGCTTGGTTTTCCCAGGTCCCGTTGTCTGGATTTCAGCCATTTTAGCCCGCACATGGCATCGGTGCATGCGGGCGGCACAAGCGCTGCAACCCACTGTCCGAGAGCCCAGTCTTGGCCGTCTAGAAGCAAGCGTTTGACGGAAGCCATTCTCGAGGCTCGCAGATCTCTAGTAGCTGCCGCCAACACGACGGGATCAAACTGATGGGCAGTTAGTGCAGCACTGTACGGGTGCGCAATTCCCTCGAGGAGTACATGTGGCTGCGACAAAGCATGCGCCAACCCGGCAAGACGGCACAGTCTGAGGTGTAGATCACTGGATCTTCAATGAAGTTCAAGCACCGGAGAGTTCAGATCAGCCCGTGAGCCCTACGAGCAGGCGGGAGCTGCATGGGAATGGAGAAGAGAGTGAGCACAATGTCGACACGGCAGCACGGAACTAACTTGCCGTGCTTGCTTGCTTGCTTGCCTCGTGGCTCACATTTTGAGCCTTTCAACAGGCTGGCTGGACTGAGGTTTATGTGACTCGGACCCAGACCAATGCACAAAGCCAGGCGCTGTGCTCAGATTGTTTCTCTTCTCTCTACCTCTCCACCCGGATGAGGAGGGGGCACTAACTATGACTGACCACAAAGATGTTGCATTCCAGCCAACGATGGATGAGATTTGCCTTCCTGCCGGAGAGCTTGCAAAGCTTTCGGTTCGAGCTCAGACTCAGAAGACCTTTGGTGCCGCGCCACTTGACGTAATCAAAGGAGCGGAACGATGGCCGTGGTGGACAAGCTATGATTGCTATCCGATGTTGCGTTTGGTACAGCCTTGCGTCGCTTTCTCTACGTCCAGAAGCCCGAAAATTGGACAGCCTGAATCAGTACAGTACGGATACTTGGTCGCTGTATCCATTGATACAGCCGGCCTCCGGTTCACTCTGTCACAACAGGAGGGCAAGACAAGACAGACCCTCGCTCCTTGCAGCAAATGAAACCACCGGTCTGTGACGTCGGGCACAGTTTGATCATCGTCTTGTTGTCTTTGACCAGCAAATGACGTGGACTGCACGTGGCACGTCGCCCGTCATCTTCGCGAGTCGTGTCAACGAGTGCTCTGTTGCTGAACGTTTTCTCATTGCCCGTTTTGGACCGAGACACAGGGATCTGGTTCAAGTTCTCCAAAAGCATGTGCGGAGTCGTTGAGCGGGCTTACCGCTTTGTACTGTATCAAGAGCCTATCAACGCTGCTGAGGGGATGCAGAGATAAGGCTTGACTTGAGTTGATGGGTGGGATACGCAACCTCGGATAATGGTATCCATGGTCATGGCCGTTTGGACTCTATGCCACCACCGTCTGGTACTGTCTCTCCAAGAGCATCATGGTTGGGAGTTGAGGGCTCTGTTAGATGAAAGACGAGGTTTGCGTTTCCACAAACAAGAAAAAAGCAGCCATCACGCGGGATTTCTTCCAGCTGCAAGCCTCTGCCGCCCATGGCAAGAGGCTCCGCGTGTTGCTTCCGGCATGAACCGCTCGGGCTCTCGGACGATATTTAGCTCCCGAGTGTCTTTGCTCGGGGCAGAGTCGAAGAAACATGAGGGTGTTGGGATGACTTGGGAGCTCAGCCTTGGAGTCAAGAATAGGCACTGACAGTTTTCCATCGAATTACCTTTTAAGCGCGTGTCACGGCTAAAACTATCGCAGAGCTGGACTTGAAGGCATTCCAGGCCTTCGGATCGGGGCCTCACTCCCGCATTCCAGTCGGCAACGTCGTTTCCGTAGCCACTTTTTGCTCAGCATTGTACTTGATTTGA